TGCTGGGTAGAGTTTGAGAACAACCGACCTTGAGTAAGCAGCTGCCTCTGAACCATCCAACGTTTCTGCTTTCACCGGTGTAAAAGTGAAAACGATTATTGGAAAACCACCACATACCAATTTAACTAAAGGTTCTTTGACCATTTCCTAAAATGAACCAGCTAGCATACCGAAGGAGAGCAACTAAAACAAGCGAACCAAACTCCGCCAACTAATAACTACACGTTTTACCAGGAAGTGCCATCTTCGTCGATATCGCAAACATCATTTTATGTACGGCCTTTTGATTTTAACTGATTTCCACTTCATCGAATTGGAACAAGTCTTTTGCACAGGATCAATTTTATGTGGGGGGGGGGGGTATTTTATGTTCTTCGACAACATCCGAGTTAAACTTATTCCTGTCTCGTTCTCAAAGCACCGAATGGCGAAACTTGATGAAGAAATGGAGGAGATGGAAGTTATTTCAGTGTAAAAATGTTCAAAATCTAAAAGAATAATTTACGTCAGCCATCTGAGGTACTTGAGGTTATTTCAAGGAATGGATAAACGGTCATGTTTATGAATCACATCCCATTTGTTTTTTAATGTTACAGTTTACCCTACGGAATATTCAAGTGGGTTAAAAAAATGGCATGTTTCCAAGGTTTCACAAACCAATATCCTCACTGACTTTTAGGCCCGTTTGTGCTTTTTCAAAAGTCACAAAATGTAAACCATCGTTTGAAAGAGCTTGAGTTACCTGTTGTCTTCTACCTCAATCAAATTCAAATTTATCTTTTGGAGACTGATAAGCGGTAAAAACATTCAAGGAATTAGTGTAGCACTGAACTACAAAGTAGTGAAATATTAGAAAACCTAAGGCGCAACATAGGCAAATACAATATTATTATTTATCCCTATTTATAGAATAAATCTACCCGGCGAGGTTGCAAACAGTTTTATGTCGAAAAGGGCAAAATTATTTTGTTAGAGGGAGAGAAAGGAGTCAGTTTGCGTCGACGTGCTAGTGCATTTTGATTTCTTTCTTTAATAATCAAATCCTCTAAATCACCCTTGGCTATTTCTTCCAGCTTTATTCACTGATGCTTTTTAGTTTTAGGGAGCATGAGGAGCGGATGAACAGTGTACTAGCCGTATCAACAATGGGATCAACAATGATCAGGTGGCTTTGGTCACCATCACTGTCATCCGCGGTTCATGTGTGTTCGAATTTCAACTTCACTGTTGTTCACTTTTGGCACTGAAGTACTTCCCAGTAAAGATTCAAGTTGTCGCAATCGCGTTCCTGAAAATTAAATTTATCAAGATGTATTGTGTAATCAAGTATGCTAAAATGTTTTTCTTTATTATTAATACTTGAAATTTGCAGTCCATAATACGCACTCTAGTACTGAATTTATTACTAGTTCATCAAGTTTATCGATGAGGAGATTCATTTAAACTCCGCAGTTTATACAAATTTATCTAATCAGTAAAGTGATGTAATCGTTTTCCCCTTACCCATCCGTTTGATAAATTAAAAATCGCTGAAGAAAGAAACAATTATTGATTGAACCGCTCGCATGCCTCAATCGGTTGAATAGCATGACGTCCTTATCCTGTGGATTGATTACCACCCACTGTCACATGCCAGGTCTTACTGACATCACTGTTGCGCACAAATAACTATTTCGCATCAGAAACGTAGAGGCAATTCACTCATATCAGAAACCAATGAGCTGGTATGAACTAACACGAATCTCTATTGTCTCATGTCAGCAGTGTAAGGTTTCGGAATTCAAACCTGTTTTAACACAGTTGTTTTCTTGTTAAAAATAACTGGTAGAACAAAAAGAAATTGTGCCTTTGCATTGTGAGCCCATGGTGTGATCGGACAATCAATTTTCCATGTGTTGTTTGATTACTTCAGCTATTTGCCCCTTCATCCCCACACATGTGGACATTCCAACTGTATGAACAGTTATTATTTTGTAAAAACATTCAGTACGCTTGTTCGTTTGACATTTAGTTATTGTTGCATAAATGTGTGATGGAAACAGATTTTGAACAAATGAAGTTCCAACCTACAGACCAGTCAGATAAACGGTCAGCTTATCATGATCTCCTTGGACAGTAGAAAACTACTATGATATCGCTGAAGTTACTTCATTGCTTTTCGAACACGTGATCTTTTCTGTGATATTCACTATCAATCGGTTATTAAACACCAATGTCTGAGTACTATTTTCATTGTTCATGTCAATCTTTATCGATCTGTTTGACTGTGTGGAAGTAGTGACAGACAAAACGAAAGGATTGGTTGGTAATTGTGCACACAAAATTCTGTTATTGTTTTCTCCACATCACTTGGTCTGCAAAATCAAGTCACGAATATGGTCTTTCAATGCACCGTTTGAGTGCGTAGGTACGCACGAATAAGAAACTCTCTTTTGAGCGATGTCACAAACTGGAGTAAGTTGAATGTATGCAAATTTACAGAGTAACAGTAAATGAGACGCAATTACCTAGTTCATAGGTGTGAGTATATTAATGTATTGATGCATCGTTCCGTACAATTCAACGGAAATTAAATACCGTTCTCATCGCAAACACTAGTTCTCTTATTTTATTTTTCACTGATAAAAAACAATATAGTCAAGGTTGGGCATCATAATCTACTTTGGAGACCAATCGACTGTTAAACGTCTACTTAGAGTGTTCATCCCAAATTCTTCTATACCTTTCCAAGTTATGAAAGATATCAAATAATTCCCTCTATTACCTTACAACAATTCATTTCCTCAATAATTTTATCAGAAAAGTTGGGAAATCCTTTGCCCATCAAGCAACCGTCTTTTAAAACGAAGGTTCAACCATCAAACCAAGTAACTGTGTCACTAACCAAGCACCTTTTGATCCTTGACGAGAATCAACCGCAGTTTGCATATCCACCGAATATTCTGACAAGAAGGAGTGTAAGTCTGTGGGGCTGACCACTTCAACTATATGAAGTAGACCACGGTTTGTTAGATATCAAAACTGCTTACAACAGTACTCTTTCGTCTTTGTGTTTGAAACTATCGGACCCTTTTTGTCTGCCTTCGTTCGAATATTTCCTGTCATATTTTTTATTTTACTTAATGGTAATCCTAAAATTCCACACTTCCGTTTGGCAATTAGTAACCATTGTTCTGTAATCTTTATCGGTGAAATCATCATAAAGGTTCCTGATCACCTCATAAGCTCTTGCAGAAAGAAATCTATCGCTCACTAACGACTCATCTCATGGCATGCCCCAAACCCCGACACATTCCATTCTGCATAGACCTTGGCGAGAATTTCCCTGTTTACTATTTATCAAACGAGCTCAACTTTTCATCAAAACACTGGAACAGTCCGTGAAATTTGCGAAAACTCGAATAAAATTACCCCACTCGTAAACAGTGCGCTTGAGCAGTTTTCCACTTATTATATTCAATGTCACATTTCTTATTCGAAGCTTGTGACTCAATTATGAGTATTTTTCTTTGCTAAAATTGTACGTATTACTCGTTGCAGGAGAACTAACACCTTTAGTATGAATTGTTTTGTATCATAAGATTTTCTTTTGATTGAATCGAATTCTCAGAATGGTCTAATTACACATATGAGCATCTTTCATCCGGTTAATCCTTCTCGCTGCTGTGCAGCTAGGTTCCCTTTCTTTCTACAACTATCCAAATTCAAGAACTGAAATTGCGGTATTCAAGAACATCGTATTCATTTGCACCAGATGGGACCTCTAAAACACCCTCTGAATTGGAAACTTTTTTTGATCACTTGTGATGATAAAAATTAATTATTCTGTATTGTTGCCTATCAATAATCGAATACTTTTGCCGCATTCCTTTTACACTGTCTTCATCCAAAGTGCACTATGATCGACAAATTATGAGTGGCTTATTTAAAGAACGAGATGAGGTAGAGTTGTCAACGGAGATATTAATCATGCAGGTTTGGAATGCGTTTTTTACGAGGCATCCGAAAAGAGCATACAAACCGTGAATATATGTATAGCTAGATCACAATTATAAATTGACTTGATGTATTCACCCACGGTAAGTGCATAGAACATGGCAAATTAACTGTGACGAGTTTGCAGCAAAGGTGTAAGTCAAATAGGAGAGGGATGTAACGAACCGGTGGGGTCAGACTTTGGGCCTATGTTCAGTCCGCTAGGTGTGCAATTCATTCCCGAAAAGTGTGAAACAACTGGGTGGTGCTTCTGTTCGACATCCACTGTAAGATACTCACTCATGCTTGATCACCGTCAATGTTGGAAACCGAAATTAGATAGGAATTGGCATTTTCGTAAATGAGGATGCAGGAAACGTTCTGTGACACCCTTTTGGGGAGACTCTAATATACCGCTGTCAAAATCGAATCACAAATTTGGCGAACGTTTGTATTCGGTGACTTCACTTTCAATCAAGTAAAAAATCAATCGATTTGTTGGCTCAAACAGTCGATGTCAAGGCAAAGAGGTAAGTTTTTCTTTAGTTCCCATTTACGGACACAAACGGGTTACGTAACCGTTGGCACTCAATTCAGGTCAACTAGGGATGTCACTAGGGATGTGGTTCACTTTCCGCTAGAGAGATTTTACTACCTACAATACTGAAAAAAATTTCGGCTTTAACCAGTGGATGATAATATGGGTTCGGCTATTGCTGTCCTTTCAAATCTAGCAGCCTTGTATTTGTGCGGTACTTATCTGGATTAGTGATTTGCGCTATTGATGGTAACCATCATGACTGAAACAGCTGCACAAAGGTCTTAGGGTAATGATGAATGACACGTCGATTCCACATGATGAACTTACTTTCTATCATACAAGTTTAATTGGACTCAAATAATAAAACGCTTTGTGATTATTTCATTTTCTGCTATGTTAGATTGTTCAACCCATTATTTCTTGGATACCAAAAGTTTTGTGCAATCTCATTTGAAGTTCTCGTTTTATATATTTCAAACTTCAGAACAACTCAGTGAATCCGGTGGAAGATCCACCGGATTCTCGTTCCACATCTGCTGGGGGATCCGCCGATTCCAGGACTATCTCGGTCAGTGTGGATGATTCGGAGCGAACTCCACGTCTCAGATATCCCATAAATGTGACAATCACCGGATTACTTCGTCCCGGGAGAACTCTGAATGTGACCACCGATGGACTGGATAATGTTATCATCAACATGGGCGGTTTGACTATACACCTGCATGACAGACCTTACCCAAGTGAGTGTGAAATATGTTTCTGCTCTAGGTTTCTCAACCCGTTTTTCAATGAAGGTCGTTTGTTTGAAATGGCGAATTACGGGAAGTTTGACCAAGTACTTTCGCAATAAAATGCACCTGTTTCATTTCCCAAGTAGAGCTATTCATCCGGAGAAAACGTATAACCGCAGAACGACTAAATACTGAAAATAAGAAGCTGCTTTCCAATACACACATCAGTGATTTGGGGGTTCAAACGAGAATGGGCAAACTTTATAAGGTAATTGTTCTTTGAGGAGAAGGATGGGAGCACTTTTGATATCACATGACACTGAATCTAAAAATAAATTTATCATAACCACATGAACAACCCCAAAGGACTCATTCAGTATGGCAGATGGCAATCGGGGCTGAATAAACCAGTTCATAAAGATAAACGGGGAATGGAAAATTCCCATTTGGGGAGCAGCACGTAAAAATGGAAACCAATAGATAACCAATAGATGGCAGTCTTTACATACTGAACAAAACTGACCCAAATTGTGAAGTAGCTGAGCCTCAAACAGTGTATGCACTTCTTAATTCTAGGAACCACCTCAAGCAAAAACCGTCTCCCATACAAGTAAGGCCAGTTCTTTCGACTACACACGGTGACCGCAAATCGGAGCAGTTGGGGATTCTTTCCGCTAGTTATTGTTCCTCAATTGGTCTTTTCCGTTGTTACAGGAGAAGAATTGTTCACCCGGACTAATAATTTGTACGAAATTGTCAAATGTATATCTTACAATAAGCACAGATCTAGAAAAAAAGATAAAACCACTAGTCAAAATTCTGATAGTAATTTGAATTGAACCGAATACCTCACCTCAATTGTAAGCACAGACCTCAGCTCATGCTAGGAATCATATTTTCAGGGAGAAGTGGACTTGATTTTCACTCCTGTCAGATCTCATCAGTGGTAAACATCCACTAATCTCACACTATTAATAACAAGTAGCACGCGGTTTCATGCAATGAAATTGACTGTAGAACTCCCCTGTCCATCTCCAGATGAACTGAGGCTCGATTACTTGCATGAAATGTTGGTTGAATAAATTGTGGAAACCCTGTATCTGGATCCTTCGCTATACTAACAACGAATAGGAAACCTATTTACCATGTCAGTCAATTTTATGAAAATAGCTTCAAGCGGAGAGCAGACATGCCATTTCTAACTGAGCTGTGCATCGTATTAGTCAAAAAAGACGCATATCCCGTACAGCCAAGCGATCGAGTTTATCAATGAATTTATTTTTTCAAAAAACAAATGTGTATCGTGCAATTGAAAGCATACCGTTTTAGAATGATATTTACACAGAGTACATACACTGACTAACGGTAATTTTAAGGCTAAAAATATCTTGTTTCGGTATCAGATCGAGTAAATCGATCAGCTCTGACTATTTAATGTCGTCTTTTTTATCTTCTTTCAGTACGACAGTTTTCCATTGCTTAGAAAATTCTCATTGCTGTACTGTGTATATTGTAACCATGTGAGAATTCTAATGGGAATACACATGAGTTGAAAAGCATGTGAGACGAATCGATAAAATTTGAGATTACTGCGGAATTCGAAATCTATTTTTTTCCAAAAGCAACTTGTTGTTTTATTAGTTCCCCGCATATTCAATTTTAACGCTGAAGTAAAAACCAATCGTGAGACGGTGAAAGTAGTTAACGATCGACAGATAAGCAAACATTCCACACCCATTGGTTGAGTGTCGAATAGACAAGATATATTGTTTTGCAAAGGAGACTGCACCATCATGACATGTAAAGTGTGCAGTAGACGTGTCACGCACGCAGAATGGAACTATATCTCGTCTATCTACCATTCAAGGCTGTGGATAATATTTTATCTTGGATATTGAGTAAGACTTATGCCCGATTTTTGCCCCATATGACTTGTACTGTCATTGTGTTTCGTCAGTAAACCCTAGGGACGTACAAGTGATGTGATATTTTCTCCATGTTTCGGTTCAACAGGGTTATCATTTTCGGAGCAAAATATACCGGATGTATCGTTTCCCTGGCCTGCCTCACAGGAGGCAATTTCCACGCTGCACACATTTAAAATGACAGAAGAGTTAGTAAGAACACATCAAACTTGTGCAATATGCGTGCAAAACTACACCAATGGTGAACAGTGCACTACGCTTCCTTGTCTCCATGTGTTTCATACGGAGTGTGTGAACACATGGTTCACGCAGGTTGGTTTACACTTTCCTACTCATTGCCTATTTTTCTTTTCCTAAATTGCCTTTATCTTGTGTACCAATTGTTTTTAGACACTTAAAAATCTTGTAGTCCCACGTGATCGATAGGGTGAACACATGACCGACGCGTCTCTTTCCTCAACATCTGGCCGTTACATTTACTAAGTATGCGATACACCTCTACCCTTTGAGAGCATCCTTTCTCAATCGATCACGATCAGATTTAGCATGAGAGTAGGCACATGAAGATAAAAGAACTCACGGCGGTGCTCTCATAGGAATTGTACGCAAACAGAAATTTTTAAACTGGACAGACAAACAAAATTTGTACTATCATGCTTCCGTTGTGTCTCATCAATTCGACCATCTACTAAATCTCCGTCTTAAGAACCGTATTTCAGGCTTCTCTGCCTTGTTTGGTTCTTTTTGGACTGTAATTACATCTTTCCGGCAAGGTCCAAAATCGGATATCTTCCGACAAGCCAATGAACCGTTTTCGCACAGGACTAAAGGAGTACGAGATGTGATTACGCGGAAAGCTTCCTCCGGGATCATTTAGCATTATTGATTTGAATTGACTATCCTTCGGACTTCACCTTCACGCATAACTTTCAGTTCATCGATTCAACTATGCACTCGGAATCACTAGACTCCAGCTTCGCTCTTATTAGGGCTCATCAGTAGTGCATATCAACCGTCCCGCTCGAAATTTGAACTCCGAACCCATCGCATGGAAGGCGTGTATCACCACTGTACCAACCATTTGATACTAAACTCAAAAACATGAAAAATCATTGATATTCCTCCTCATACGATATTAAAATACTACTTGACACCCGTTTTATAAGTATTTGGTAAAATATTCCTTTTCCGCATAATGAAACCGCGATATAAAGTTCCATATTGCTCCCTGATTCCTGCCTGGTTCCCTCAAAGATGGATCATATCTGTAGGATTCGAAAGAGCAAACCCAAATTTGAATGGATGTGGGGGAAAGTGAACTGAAGACAAACATCACTCGCTGAATCTGCTTATTTTATTATTATTAAAGGACCAAACATGTTTGAATGTCATTTGCTATATGGAGGAATCTGAAACATGGGCTTGCATAATGTGTCCGCGGTCATTTCACTGCATCTGTACCCGTGCATACTGCAGTCAGATTGATTTTTATAGTCAGTGAGACGAAGACAAGATCGCTAATCACAACGAACAACACGACACAACAATAAAAAAAGATACAACCAGATAGGGTAGGGGTCAACAACCAAGTCAAATCTAGTGTGATTAACCATTCGTGGTGTGCCCATAGATCGGGTTTGAGATAATGAATGACTAGAGCGTCGGAAAATTTCAGTAACTTTGTGCGTATTCTGTTGTAGGTCACTTGAAGTGCATGGGTTGGAGTGATATAATGTTTTGTTTTAATAAGTGTTGTGTTATCGAAGATCTAAGTCCTTTCGGCTCATTCGATGATGTAACTTGCCGTCCATCACTTTCTTAGGCCACGCTGAAATGTGTTCGACCATTCGGTGACGTAGTTGCATCTCTGTTCTGCCTATGCAGATGGACAAACATCCATATTTGAATTGGTAAATGCAGTTTGATTTGGTGGAGTGGAGCAATGGTTCTTTCAACGATGTCGTTGGCATCCGAGTGGTAGTGAAGGCAATGACCGAGTCTACTGCGTAATAGACGGGCTTGAGGGAAGAATCCAATCGCTTGCTGACTAACTCATTCACGTCATCGTCTTTGTATGATATCTTCAAAAAGGTTTCATTATGAGGCCTTATTGGTTTTTCTATGTATGGTGTTGTTTTGGTGATGAATGCAAATGGATATCCGTTTGCGTACAGAACTTTTTTTAAGAGGTCACTTTCATCGTTTAAAGAGTCCTCTGTGTATATGTCATGAGCTCGATGGAATAGTGTGCGAACAAGACAAATTTTGTATCACATGGGGACGCAGCTGGTGAAATACAAATATTGCCTGATCACCTGTTCTTTGGGAAGACCTATTTGTAGTGGAACCATTCGGTCAACGAATAATGCTTATGTCTGAAAATTCGATGCGGTCATCTTGATGAGCTAGCTAGTTGGGGCAGTCAATTGTGTTGAATCGACGGAATAGGTTGTCCCCGTTTTCCTCGATATGGTTTGTAACGAAGATGTTATCAACATAGCGATAGTATACAGCCAATTGTGAAACATCCTCTTCAAGCCTTTCATCCATTTAGCCAAGGAATATTCTCAAGAATAGGTCCCAGCGGACCGGCCATAGTGACTGCATCTATCTGCCGATATCCTTGTCCAAGGAGCGAAAATCTAACGTTCGACGTGCTTAGGAGTAGCAATAATGATATTTCACTGATTGTTAATCCGACCTACGCCGAATAGGTCGTAATGGAACGCCTCTTTATTCAGCTTCCGTAAACCGTACGCCTGTGGTGTCTGTGTTCCCGACGGGTGCGAAAATTCCGCCAGTGGTTCTTGTATAAGGTTCACCTGAGTTAGAGTTTTCACTTTTGCAAACATTTTCTTCTCTAATTCACTTGGATCGTCTGGAGTATTGTCCAGCTTAAACTTGATAAGAAACGCATCATTTTTTCTTTGTTGTGTGGTTTATTCATTACCACTTCACCGGAACCCTTGTCGGGGGCAGCACGAGAATATTTTGATTAGTTTTCAATTGTTTCAATCCTTTGATGTGTCCATCGGCCAGTAACGAGTTGTGTTTTTTATGTTCGTAATTCGTTATTGATTCTCCATATCCACCAATTTCGCTTTAATCCAACCCACATCATCCTCGGTCGTCGGGTTCATATTTGTCAACTGATCAAAAGAGAACTCAATAACCGTTTTAGATTCAATATGATTACCCGTTCTTGGAGGACAGTTCGAAATGATCCCGGATGCATTACGCAAACCCATATCTGACTTCTTTGTTCAAATTTGGGAAGAGAAACAGTATTTTCATTTAGTGCATAATCCGTCTAATTTAGTGCCTGATCGACAGCGATTTTTCAAACAAATTTAAATGCTAAAAGGTTTTCCGTCATAGTTCGGCAGATAGATCTCAGCTATTAACAAAACAATGACATGATACATCATTTATCTCGTACTTTGAACCTGTCCACGCTCATGAATGGTGCATAGTTACAGTCTGGGGTCAATGTGGTCTTCTGCGTTCCAATCGCGAACCGCATAATATCCCGAGGCCGGCTACCTTGTCGACATTGTGCAGAAATAATTCGTCTTGTTCCTCTACGTAGTGCGTCACACGTCGCTCATAAATTTTTCATTCCGAATCTATTGAGTATAGATATAAAACCAATTTTTACTCAAAAAAACAAAGCTCTTTCTGTGTCCCTTTATTCAGGTTGCCTTGTCGTTATGAAACAAAATGAATTTCGGTAACTCCGGTTGAGTAGTCATCAAAACTCAAATGGAAACTGTACTAGTATAGTGCCCCGTAACTCCACTGGAAAGATATTTTATTAATGCAAACGCCATGGTTTGATCATTAATACAACGTGCTTTGTATTTTTACCTAAGCGGAAGTTCTACCTCAAATTAATTGCTAATCATAGTAGCGTAATTATTAATATTAACTCTCAACTGTGTATCAATATTTGCAGTTCTCTTCCGACCACAAAAGACATTTTTTCAAGTTTTTGTGCACCCTTGCACCCTACTCGTGATGCACTTATCTTCCGTTTTGCAAACTTTATATTCTTCAATTTACTGTGCTAATTGGTCATCAGTTGTTCAATCACGGTCCCGTTTTGGGACTATTCCAAAGATTGAATTGGTTGATGTTGAATTTCCAATCCAAAACATATGCCACTCTGCTGAAAGTTCGAGCAATGACCACATTGTACATTCCCAACATGTCCAACCCTTATCCTGATCGTAATTCTACAGCGGTCCACTTGTCCGTTTTGTCGCCAATCGATTGACAATTCCACCTTTCAAGAAGGTTGAAATGAACAAGCGTTCAGGATCAATCGGTAAGCTGGACGATGAAGGCGTCCAAAGGTGCCCACCGGCAAATGTATTCACACAGATCACTCAGAATTTTTCCCACGAACCCTACGACACATTCCTAGCGCTTCAAATATCACCATAATGACTCCGAACCCCATCACCTCTCTTGATAACATTCGTGAAATTTCAAATGCAATTTAATCCGCCAAAATTTCTGTTTTCTTTCTTCTGAGGTTCATGTGTTCAGAGTATCAGCACAAGGGCTGCAACTTCTGTTGGGTATTTACAGCAGCCGCGTTTCCCGCGCTCATGAATTCGCTACGAGATTCCCGTGAAACGTTGTTATTTTTTTGTATTCTTAATAATTGATCTAGCAATCTGTTTCTTTTAGTTATTGAATAAAATATCAATTTCGGATCCTCGCAGGTTGCTGTGGTTCATCAGAAGTTTGGAGAATAATTTCTGAAGGGTTTTATGAAAACCCATAAAGCAAGAAGAGAAGTATTGGTTGAAATTCGATGTTCTCTATGAGGATCAGGTGTGCATGGCATGCAGAATAAACAGGAATGCTCTTATATCAGTTTATCAGATACTCAGTTTATCTCATTGATACAGCTGAGGATCGGTTTGTCTCCAGCACCCCTATGGAACCGTGGTATTTTTTCAGACAGACTGAGGAAACGTTTGTAGAATGTGTACAACTTTTCCAGGTTATTCCGGTCATTTTATCAATCTTGAATATTCGTTCACTGGAGCATATCTAAGCATGTATGCATATTTTCCAAACAGTAACCAGAATTACTTCTTGATCTGTTTAATCAGCTTTACCTTCGCCCTTCATGTTTTTGAGATAGGATGAAATCCCTCGGATTCTCTTTCGCCGTTCGAGCTGTTTTCAGTAAGCAGTCGGTTCATCCAAATACTACTACATCTCCGAAGTTTTCTTATTCTTCTTTTATGGCAATTAACATTGTATACGCTTCAAACTTTAGTATTGGTAAGTGTATGGGGACTCTTGAATGCTACGCATCCTAAATCCCCTTATGATCTCAAGATAGCTGAGATACCGTTCGTTCTTTTAATTTTCGGAATGCACATTTGATTGGTTTGAGCTCTGCTTTTACTAATATCACAAAATAACATGAATTAAAACAACCAAATACAATCAAAACAGTTGCCTGGTTCTGTTTACAATACGATGACTGGTCATGTAACTGGGAGGTCATGATGCACAAGGACAAAACTGATAACCTAGGTTAATCAAGCAGCATCTTACAAGAAGATCGCTGCCAAGGATATTCAAGCAAACCACGTAGTCACCTCAGAAAGCACCTACTTGGAGATAAGATTCTCACACTCAACCCCGACCACAACCTATATCAGTTATTGTTCATCAATTACCTGGAAACAGTCCAATTCCGATGAAAAGATTCAACGCAAAGATCACACATCCAGTCAAGTTTTCAGTTGTAACGCCACCCAGTTTTCCCGACAAAATAGTGTAACATGAGTATATTTTGTGAGTGAGGAGAAATTCATTGAGATCTAACATGTGACAACGGGGGTTTCTGAGTTAGAGAGTGAATAAGTCACGGTATTTTATCGAGTCATTGAGATTAGTATTGGTTGTTCTTTTTAATGATGATCAAGCTGACGGAAAACAATCCTTCGAGGAAACTACGCAGATAAATAGGTATGACATAGGCAATGTATTCGTATTTCTCTATCCGTGTTCATTCCGATACCAAATACAATCTTAGCAACTAAGCGCTTTTCATCTTATTTCCAATGGAAACCCATAATCATTTTGATGATACGTTCTCTCATCCATGCACAGTTATTTTTGAGTAGTGATGTGCAACAATTGCATTTTGTGTGACTATCATTCAAACTTCATCCTCGCTGACAGTGATCAGCTTGTTTAATCAATCAACTTGCGATCGACTGCATAACCGAGAATTACGCACCAGGGTGAAATTTTAAGGGTTATCAGTGAAAAACCAAAAATGATATTTTTACTTTCCTTCGTTTATTGAACATACAAAGATACAGCCAATGTTTACTAACTGGACTGATTCCAATAGCAGGCTTCCTTTCGATAAACAAAATTGAGAAAGATATTTGAAGGTGATGGTGGTGGTGGTGGTGGTGGTGGTGGTGGTGGTGGTGGTGGTGGTGGTGGTGGTGGTGGTGGTGGTGGTGGNTGGTGGCATATGCTTCCAACATACGTCCTCCAGCCATGGTAATCCTAACCGCCTAGTACCGGACGTCTGGGGCAAATACAGTTCTCCGGTATTCTCTATCCAGTGATATAAGTTAAAAGCATATCACTGAACGGAATTCATACATTAATCGCGTGGAATTAAACAAATGTGATCATTTGAGTATTGTTAGGAAGGGTACAAACACACCGGAGTATTGGGTGAAACAGAATTTCTTCAACTATTTTATAAAAAATGGGTTTGTTGGCAAAAAGCTGAATTTTTGCCCATTCTTCATGGCAATACCCTCTTTCCTGAAAATCATTGTGCTTATGCCGCACTTTTTACATTCTTTCTTATTTAATTCTTTGCCACTGCATTCATTTCTTTATTAGTTTTGACTACGTAATCAATCTCAATAAGTTGAACTTACGTTTTATCCCAGGTGGCACACTGTAGCGCATCTATCAGCAACAACGTGTTACGTACGAGCTACAGCAGCTACAGTTGTTAGTAGATGGTGATTTAACATTAGAATGTATTTGCCGTAATTGTTCTTGGTCTAGAAACTTCTTTTGATCCCTTGTATTATTAAACAGCACTTATTTCCTGGTTCTAATTTCCATGATTTTTGTTTTACTTTTGAGCGGGAAAGCACAGCTTGGTTGGTCTGGTTTTGTGGTCAGCTGTTGCTGTGTTATAGACCTATAACTAATGCCTTTTGTCCCTTCGTAAGTGCATTTTATGATGCATTTTGCTATGGATGTACATGAATACTTAATAAATAAATAAATAAATAAATAATTCGTTGAGAATAATTTTATTACTCATACAAAATACATCTAAATCCATTAGTATTGTCTTCGTGTTGGTGAACATTCTATTGCATACAAAGACAACAAGCGCAACCAATCAAGTGTCCGATTTGAACATAGCAAGAAGTTTCCGAGCCTTAATTGTAAGCAAGCGGGTTCACACAACCATGTAATCTACTTCAATAAACAATTAATTAACAATGATGGAGGATTGCAAACAGATGATTTTAAAGCATACGCTCAATGAAGACATTTGTATGCATAAAATTATGCGCCACGGTAAGTATATTCAGCCTGGCTCGTTTAACGTTATTTACAATTTATGGGGAAGAAATAAATCTCGGAAGAAAGTAAACAGACTAATGATGGTGTGAGCAGATCGTTTCATCTAATTTGGAGATTTTGTTCAATGTAAAGATTTCGGCTGGGATCGATTGGTGACAAGTGCTTTTGTGAATTGGTTTCAACAGGCGAATTACATGGAAAAACAGGACAGTTTTCCATTTAACAATATCCTTCGTGCATAGTATTTGCTTAAGCAGATCGTGCAAGTGGAGGGAAGATATCTGGCCGCTGCAGTAAAGCAAGCCATGTTCACAGCACTGCACGACGATTCCACTGTTCGCACGAATTATATCAGCAAACTACCGGACGGAAAATTTTAAATATTTTATTATTTTAATACATTTTGTCTGACTTTTTAAGCGCAGTTGTTGAATGAGTTTGTCTGACTACACTAAAAACGAACATAAATATGGAGGCACTCGCGATTTACATAGTGGAATAAGCCGGGAAATGATAAAGTGATGTATAACATAAGTCAGTTGTGTGCGTCCTATACACGATGGGAAGGATACATGATTTCTTCGGGATAAGATAAAACGGCGTTTAATCATCGGTTCATACGAAATTAGAGTCCAGAAAAGGCGAAAATCCAGAAAGGAACGCTTTATAAACTAGGTGGCTAAAATTGGCCACGTGTAGCCGGCGATGGACGCGCTATTAGCTGTCGATGTGCTACCTGCGAAAGAGCTTCATTTGATACAATAAATCATGGCTGAATTGGGAGATAACGTATGCATGCAAGGGTTATACGCGCTTCATGTATACGGATCCAGAAAACATTTCAGGTACGGGAGAAGCTATTCATTCAGAGTTGGTTAGTCATAAGCCCATATGTTACATGAGAATCAGATTCAACAACCTACGGAGAAGAGCAAAGGCCAAAAGTTGGTGCCTTTTGAGAAAACTAGTTATTTAGTTTATATAAATGACATATATTTTAGTGAAAACGGATCGACAGACCAAAATAATATGACCACTGATATTCAAGAGATTGCAAAACGGCAGATCATCCACTATTTTTCGTGTGAAATCACTGCAGGAGATTGAGTGCGTTGCCTAGTTGAAAAACGTCTAAGATATGCTCAATTAAAGCAAACCTTTCACGAGATCAATTTTAAAAGAAAAGACCATATCGCTATGCTGCATGAATTATGTCCAGCATGATTTCGTTGCGCAATAAACTAACTTTCTGTTCACACAGAGCGCACGAACTGATCGGCAAATACGTAAATTATAACACTGTGGTAGTGTCTAACGCATACCTCCTCAAGTAGTGTTTCAGTGTGAAACGATTCAGTAAAACTAAACGGACGAATTCCGTTCGCATTACTGCCATCCGAAAGGACATGATGATCCGGTTATTCATGAAATGAAAACAAATCCTAATTTACTTAGTGCAAACAGAGCGATTTTGACATAAATTACTGTAAGCAAATGTTGTAATTTATATCAATACGTTCTGGAATTTATATTTACAATGTGTGGGCCTTGTTATTTGTTTATTCAAGGGAACATTCCGATAGAATTTTTCAGATGACATCCTCGACCGAAAATTCTGACTACTCTCATTCGTATCAGTGATCAATCGCACGAGGCCATAGGAAGAGTATTATTTGAAATGTAAATTATCCAAATAGGTGTAGTTCCTCAAAATAACTATGAATAACCTGGTAAAAGGTTACCACATAGACCTACTTGAATTGGATCATGTACCGTGTAACCAGTTATGTACTTGCATGTAAATCTGATCAAGTCCTTCGGATACTTCTAATCGTACAGTATTGCAAATAACCGAAACCCATGTATATAGACCGCAACGGACACTTGTGTCTGTTGCGGTCTACAGCATATGACAGAACACAAAATTAGTTTGATGTTGTTCCATAATTATCACACCGGGTTACCCATCGACGGTTTCAGAAAGGCTATTAGGACGAATACACGGAGCGTTGTAGATAAGAAACTAATGCATGTACAGACATGTATAGTTAAAATATAAATATATGAAATAATATATCTACATATGCATATTATATCCATCGTCTTTTTCTTCTTTGGATACCACCGATCCCTATTATGTCGGTAGAGACTTGCGCACCACCCGAGGTGAACCAAAACGAACGAAACCAACTGGAATTGGTAGGAGATGCGGTTCTATATTCAATGTAAGTAAATTACACAGTGGGGCAAAAAGCAAAATGGTCCGATAAACTTCCTACCAAAATCTTCGATACAGTAAAATAAGGTTCATAGAATGTGCTGTGGAAAGATCTAAATGAATGTTCGTAGGGCAACTGTTTCTATAATCAACTTGTTCTGAATCTTTGTGATCACTATCTCCTCCTCCTCGTTCACTTATCTCAAATGATTTTGGTAATGACTCAACAACCCAGTTCTTTCCGCCAGAATCGTCATGTCAAAATCCAAGTCGAAGCTTTATTGTGAGAATTACTAACAAGCTCATAATTCTCTTGTCCCCGTAGGATGTTTACACAGTTGAATCGTTTCTCGGCGAAAAAGAAATCACATAGAGTTCCAGGTAGGAGATAGTCTTCAATGTTTGTTTTTATTTGTTTAGGAACGTGAGGTGTACCAGGGTTTCATCGAGTCTCCGCTTAACAGATTCAATATTTCGTGCACAAACGACACGAGATGGAAAGGTGCTCCAATTACTGCATACTCTGACTGCAAAAGAGTGGCACCGGCATTCCAGCCGAAACTTCGAATCAGTAACCTGAAACGGTGTCTCCTAAGGTGTGCATTGTTCGACAACATGAGCAGCGGCCGACATAACTGGTTTGTGTTCTGCAGAATAAAGAGACTATAGAGAGCCCTCGGGTTCTGTTACTGTATTCCAGAGTTTGGTATCTTCTACAAACAGTATTGTTTTTGGACCTAGCACGTTCGGTAAAACATTTGTGAATACGAGGAAAAGACGGGGACCGAGTGTGGCACACCGCGGTCACGTTGATAGATCTGGATAGGGAATCAGAAACACGAACTGATATGATTCGTTGATCGAGGAATGCTCTAATCCAAGCAAACACAAAATCTCGAATGTTGTAATTTTATAGATTCTGTAACAACATTTGGTGATTCACCCTGTCAAATGCTTTTGAGAAGTCAAGATAAACCACATCCACCGCACACCTTTCGTCGACTTTCCTGGTCCATTCATCTAGAACAAGAAGCAGGTTGGTGGAGCACGATCGCTTTTGCCTAAACCCTTGTTGACCGTTCGAAAGAATGTTGTATCTTTCAAGTTGTTCCATCAGAGAATCGGCCACAATTGACTCCATGATTTTCGAAAACACCGGAAGCAAGGTTACAGGTCGGTAGTTATCGGAGTCACTACGATAACCACCTTTGTATGTGGGCGAAATAACTTCTTGTTTCCATGATTGTAAAGGTGTTGCTTGGTTGAGCATTCGTTGGAACAAAATGGTTAGTGGTTCAGATATGTGATTCGCCAAAAAGATCAGGGATTTCGGGTGTATATTGTCCGCATCTGGGGTTACATTTTTCGCAAGGCCATTAATTTTTGCTTTGATGTTTTCAGCAGTAACTGATACGTTGGTCAGCGAAGGACATGGAAGATGATGCGACCAGGGAGGCTGCTGTAGACCTTCAACCTGCGGTACAGCGAAAACGTTAGAACACTGAGTTTTCATTATTTCAGCTGCTTCCGTTGGAGTGGCTGCAACTCTCCCAGCGCAGCTTAGTGCCAGTGTACCAAACTTTACTTTCCGGATGGGCTTAAGGTGCTTACAAAATAGCTTATGGTCAGAGATAAATTTCTGTGCTAGAGCCTCTTGGTATTTTAGTTTATCCTCACGAATCATTTTGGTGAAGTGGTTTCTCTGCATACCATAATTATTGCACGTG